GCATTTAATTGTACCGGTTACTGAAAAACTTTTTCCATTAAACAATAAAATTAATTTTTAATGCCACATTTCATAAGATTCCAAACCAATCTACGTAGGGGGGAGCATTGCCCCATAAAATATATGACGACACACGATCAATTACTTCACCTAACACCTTTAGAATTGTTTTAATATTAAATGTTAGTAATAAATTATCTAAATAAAGGTAAATATCAGTTTGGTTGTCCCCACAAATTGATTCTATAGTCAATGTAAGAACGGTAAGTACGTGTCCAAAAACAAGAAAAATGATTCTAATGTTTGAATCAGGGTCATAATTTATTTACGTTATATTTTTACCATGAAAAAAATTAAAAAACATAAAATTAATTAAATAAATTCATGCATTAGAATTTACACTAAACACATGATAATTGGTAAAATGGTTACCGGGGTTTTTTATTTGATTACCTTGTTAAGAGTTTAATTGTTTTAAATTGATAACAATAAAGTTTAGGTCATATTCTATTTTTTTTTTTTTAAATGTTAAAGGTGAGGGTTTTTTCTAAAAAAAAAGATCTTATGTTTTTTAGGTAGGAAAAACTATTTAAAACCTTAAAATTATTAATAAACCTGCTAAAAGGGTTAAATCTAATCTATATATATATATATCTATATATATATATATATATATATATATATATATATATATATATATATATAAGGTCCTTTTTAATAATAAAAAAAATTAAAGTTGAGAATAATGAAAAAACAAAATATAAGGCTTTTATGATATTAATGGTAATCGATAAAATAGTTAGCTGAATTTTAATTCGATTATATATTTAATTTAATTGTTTTAAATTAATAACCATAGAGTTTAGGTCATATCTTATTTTATTTAATATATTTAGATGTAAATAATAGCATATTAAATTTTTTCTCAATTTTATGATCATACTTGAAATTTAGTAAGGTCTAATAATCAAAGCTTGTATTACCATCAAATATAATATGAAATTTGAAAACCAAAGTATATTTATATTTTGCATAAAGTACACAAAAACTATAATATATTGCTATTCTGCAAAAACTTGATGAAACGTTTCATAAAATAAATAAAAAAACTAACTGTGATTCGTATAAAAATTGTAGAGTTATTTATTAAATTGAATAAATATAGCCATTTTCTATTTTGTTAGAAGCCTTCTAGAACTTGGAATTTTCCAAAAAAAATGTCAATAAGCAAGCTTATTTGGATGCATCATTTTGTAATGAAATATTATTTCCACTAGGATATAGCATGTGGAAATCACGGTTACAAAAATAATTAAATTTTATGGTAAAAACTCATAATTATTAATCTATTATTTTTAATAAATTATTAAATAAGAGATTTATGTTTTTTAATTTATGTAAAATTATAATCGTTGATTCAAATAAATATATGAAATTATTTTTCAAGATATATGAAACAGTTTTTATTTGTGAATTAATGAAAAAATAATTATATTTTTCAAGATATATGAGACATTTTTTATTTGTCAATTTATTTTTAAACAAGTGGAAACCACGGTTGATAAAAAAAATACTAATCATAATTCGAAAAGACCGAAATACCCTTACAGCCCCAAACAACAGAACCTGCTTCTGTTTTAAGAATTCCATAAAAACCATGACACACCCCCAAACTAGAACGACGGAAACGTCTGGGGGCGGATAGAGTGACTTCATGTACAGTATCATAACAATTGAATAGTAATGAAACATAGCAACACAAACATTCATACATATAGATTTCAAGTATTACATTGTTTACAAACACAGTTGTTCCAAAAGTTGAATACAAATAACTGAAAAGTAGGAAAACATGAGACGACGACGCCGGCCCTCAAGAAGAGTTGAGTATCTGTCTACTGGTTTCTTGAGAATACAAGTGATTTTGAACAGTGTCAACAATTAAGTTGGTGAGTTCATAAGCATTTTGTTTTAGAAAATAAGTTCTTTGGTTAAAGTGTTTGTGTGTTCCTTCAGAAAATCCTATATTTTCTATAAAATCGAATTGTAGTCTTAAACGTTTCAAGACCGAAAAAGTACAAGTATAATTATCATACTTAGTTTGATGATACCTAGTTTTATTTATAAGTAAAACTAGCTAAAGATGTTTGCCCGGTAAACTAGATGCAATGTTAATACCCTCTTATGATCACTTAGTACATACGAGTTGTATAAAATCTAGATTGAACAGACAGTCGAATTGGTGAATATGCCCTAAGTCCACAACCAAACAAGGAACAAGAAGTAAGGCGGAAATCACACATTCCACTGTCTACCGGACATTAATTTTATATAACCCTTATGTATATGCCAGGTAATCACAGAGTTAATACCCCTTTAATACTTGTTGAAAATATACCATTACGTAAATATTTAGTTAATGCTTATTGTGAGTGTTCATTATAACCATGCTAATATGACTAATGGCCTGCATGACGTTCGTCGGCGTCGGAAAATTATGACATTTGTCACCCCATGCCTGCCGGCCTAGCTGTTGCAAGCAGCTCGGGTACGGGATTGTTAGTCCCGTATAGATCTATACACGCTCTCCCTCCAGGAGACTCTGGTTATAATTCAGGATTTTAACGGGTACCATGTTTGGTACAACGAAGGAGTGCCTCACAATCCTGTATTAACTAGTTTACATAAAGTGTGTGGTAGTTATCTTTTCGTGGTTATCGCATGTCTTATCCTTTTCACAGTATTTACAAAGTATAAAATAATCACATTTTTAATGTAATCATTCCTTTGACCCAAACGAGTAAACTAACGTGAATGTTCCCCAAACTATACCTATTATAGTTTATCTTGTTGGTTTGTAACTATTTATGCAATCTTTTATAAAAATATAAAGGTGTATTCCAGCATGAAAATATGAAATCAAAACATAGTATTTTGGTATTAAAACCCACTAGATTAGTAAATGACTATACTGTACCAAAGTTTACTAGTAAAGCTATCTTTTAATAAAAGTTCCCAAAAGTCATGTAGTTTACAGATCTTAACTTTTCTTATGATTTTATAACATAGACCATGGTAGTTTTGCTAATATATATATATATATATATATATATATATATATATATATATATATATATATCACAAATATTTATACCAAAACTAGAGTATACCATAACTTGTACAACTAATAATTTATCCTTAACATAAAGATGAAAAACTTGTAGTTATTTGTGGGATAAACAAAGTTTTACTTGTATTCCACCCCCCCCCCCCCTAAAACATGGAAAAAGCTTGAAAATATGGGGGTATGAACTCACATTGAGTTGGTTAATGAGTTGATTGGAGTGATGGAGTGAAGATCTCAAGCCTAAACTCTTGGATGAGTTGATGAACTTCCTTGGAGGTGATATTATCCTATGGGTTTAACACATTTTATTGTGTGTAAATAGGATGATATGGTCATTAAAATGTATTAAATCACTAGGGATTTATGAAATACTCACCAAAAATTAGAGTAAGCTTGAAGACTTTAACTCCTTTGAAGCTTGGAGTTACTCTTGAGAGAGAATGGAAATGAACAAGAGGTAGAATGATAAAAAAAATGGTGGGGCTTTTTGGAAGGAATTCGTCCAAATACAGGGAGTAGGAAACTTGATGTGATACTTACTTGGTAATCCGTTGGTTAATTTCATGGATATACGTTGAATATTAAACTGCATGGGAAAATGGGGGATAGCATCTAATCAACAAAGTCAACACCATTATCCTTGTCTTATTCACATCTTATGACCGTAAATACCATAGAATGGAGTTGTTTACGGCCTAGATGCCTCCTAGAATGGTGTTTACGGCCATAGTGGGGTCCTTAAGGGTGTTTGCGGTCTTGGTGGGGATGCATGAGGTTGATTTTGCTCTTGGGGCCCCCTTGGATGGGTTCACAGTTTGGACATCACCCCTTAAAGGGTGATTTCGGTCCTACATAACCCCACATAGGTGTTTTCGGTTCTAAGATGTCTTAGATAGGAGATTTCGGTCATGAGATGTTCTAGGGTGGGATACTAGGCTAGATATTAAAACAATGATCTCATTTCATGGTTTCTATTCCTACATTTTGAGTAGTCTTGTTTTATTAAACTGGGTTACTTTCAAAGGGGTTATTTACGATATGGTTTTCGAGGTTTAAGTATATAACAACTTGTATAAGAATATGCTCTTCATGGCTTTCAAGGTTTTTATTGTAATAGGGTTTACAATTTCGACCTTGCTTGATCCAAATCGTTCGGGTTGTCACAAACCACATGAGTATTAAATCTTCACGACTCAAAGACTTGGTCCACCTACAAAATGTAAGAGATTTAAGTCGTGTTTGGTTCGTGAATTCCGATGGAAATTTGAATTCAAGATTCCATTCAAGGGTGTCTTTGGTTGCCAAATGAACATAATTCATTTTCATTAAATTTGTGTTTGATGGATTTCACCATTCCTAAGGTTGGGTTGGAGGAATTCAATTACATTTCGAGTAAAGCTGACATTTTTTTCAATTTTGGTCCTGAAAATTTTCTTCTTGCAAATTACGACCAAAGGTAATCATTTTTTACTTAGATCAGGGACCAAAAACATTACAGGAACCTTAAAAAAGGACCAAAATTGTAAAAAAATTAACTATACTCAGGGACCAAATATATAATTTACTCGAAATTAAATTAAAAGTGAAAATATTAGAAAGTTAATCAACTTTTATTGTTAAATTCAGTTCAGTTTGCTTCCAACCAAATGTGTGACAGATCAAAATTCTTTCATAATCCAATTCTTTCCAAAACTGGCAAATATCTAGCCCTGAATAACACTTGATTTGTTCCTAATTATTTATTATATTTTGAAGTTTATTAGAATGTGCTTCAACTATATCCTTTTTTGAGTGGAGATTTGTGTTGGTGAGAGATAAGTTTGTGACTTAGTGTTGGTAAAGGCAAGAGTCTTTTTAATGTCAGACAGATTATTCATAAGTGTGTCAATCTCAACCCTAAGCATATGTTTTCTTGATTAACTTTTGAGTGATGATGACACAAGTAATTAAACATCATAGACTTTTCGTTGTCAGTGTAAGTGATGAACTTATTTACCTGATACAAAGATGATGAATCCCAATCTAGATGTTTTGAGTCCTTCGCAGCTTTGGCAAGATCATCTTTAAAAGAGCTAGATCCTCTTTCAACAACCGGATCTTCAGTTTGAGACATCAAACACTTATCCTTACCTTTATCTTCAGCAGATGATTCTTGTTCAGACACCCAATTTTCTGCTTCAGCAACCAACCCTTTGACATCGATGTTCTGCCTTTTTAGAGAGGCCAACATCTTCTTGTATTGTACTTCATAATCTTCATCAGTGTCAACTTTCTTAGATTGATACCTTTTAAACCCATATAGTTTCTTGTCATTCCTACTAATATAGCATTTAACAATCAGAGCTTCACCTTCATTTTCGTCAGAGAATTCATTGTCGCTATTTTGAGGAGACTTCTTGGAGTATAAAGCCACAAAATTTTCTCTATGAGTGTCTCACATGATTTCCCTATGCAAAATCTTCGTTTCTTCATGATTACGAAGATTACCAAAAAGAGAGGCTAAATCCATGGTTGTAATTTTTTCACTATTCTTCAAAACATCAACATGATGTTCCCAACTCTCATTAAATGGATCAAGAAACTTTAGCACTAGAGAGTTTCTCGTTTTGTTCATGTTTAGTCGATACATATCGTTTACCAGGAAATTAAAAAGATTGAAGACCTGGGTAAGAGTTTCATTCTTTTTCTGAAAAAATGCTCATATCGTCGATTCAAACTGTTTTTGTTAACTGTTTGTACTTCATCAGTACCTTTATATGCGACGGTCATCATCTCTTTGGCAAATCTACACTTTTAGACAAAGTGATAGATATCATAGGGTAGAGCGTTCCCAATAACAACACGAGCCTTCACATCAAGAGCAACAAGACGTTTATCTTCATCATCAAATTGATGGACATGTTTTTCGATCATATCACCATCTTTAATATTCTCCTTCATAGGTTGATACATTGGAACATGAGGACCATCATTGATGATGCTCAACATAGAGTAGTCCATGGTTTCGAGAACCATCATTGCTTTTGACTTTTACATTGTGAAGTTATTTTCATCAAATTGTGGTATTTTATGATCAGAAGTAGTTTTAGAATGATTTGATGAGGAAGAAGAAGACATTGTTAATTGATTAGATTGGCCTGTTCTGATACTAGTTGTAGGATTCCTTGATCTTAATCGATTAACAAATGAAAAGAAACTGAAAGAACACAAGGAGATATCACAAAGGTTTTTTCACTAAGAAAAGGTTCTCACAAAGAGAATGAGCACAAAACTCTATAGGGTTCGATGATCAACTAATGATACGAACCCTAGTATATATAGAAAATTAAATACAATGTGAATCCCTACAAACCATGGATATCACCTAATCTACGTAAATAATAGAGTATATCTGATATCCCCAAGATATCAGATCTATTAACTAACTACATATTTATCTATATATACAAAATATTACATTTATATATTTTAACGCTGACACGACATTGTAGACTGAGCATCACGTTGGTGTTGGTGAGACGATGGCACTGATAAGGAGTTAGCATGAGTGTTTTGCATTATCAAATTCTAAGGTTAACCTTACAAAATTCGGGATTCGGTACCGTCGGTACCGATACTAGTATCCAAACTGGCACCATTCCCAGTACCGGTACCAGTAATGTTAATTCGGTTCGGTACTCAGGATTGACTTTCGGTCCAATTTGGTTTTCGGGAAATCGGGAATGGTACGGGTCGGTACTGGTTCCATCCCACGCTCATCCCTACTTATAGTTAGCATAAGTCAGTTCACATATAAGATATTTTTCTTCCGCTCGTTAACTTCAAAAATATTGTCTTACTTATTTTTATGTATGTGTTGGTATAAATTCCAGTTTATATATGTTACGATGTCACACCCCCAAACCGGAACGGCGGAAACGTTCGGGGGCGGAGGACGTCATGTACAGTATCACAACAATTGTATAATAGTAATCAAGAAACACAACCATTACATTGATAAAATATAGTATTTACATATGTTCATAACATGGTTTGTATGACATCAAAAGGTATAACAAAAGTATAAAAGACGCGACCCTAAAAGCTCCGTCTTCTCAAAAAGCTGCGAGTGTACATGTCTTATCGGTTCCCTGAGAATACAGGTGATTTTGAAAGTGTATCAACATTTAAGTTGGTGAGTTCATAAGTATGTTTGTAGGTAGAAATCTATAAGTTGTTTCCTTGTAAAAGATGTTCATGTGTTTTACCCAGAAAATCCTATATTTTCTGTAAAGGTGTTTTTGTATTTCAAAATAGTATGATGCATATGTATATGGATAAAGACTCTGTAATTTGTAATTCCCTGGTAACACCAGCTGTTTGTAATATACCTTGATGTGGTTTTATACATTGTTGTAGTTTTATTTATAATAAAACTAAGTGAAGTTGTTTACCATTCATACATTAATCGTATCATTTAGTACCAAATTTATGAGTTGTTATAACCATACTTGACCATTGAATTGGCTGAACGACGTTCTTCAGGCGTGGGAATCGAAATGACTTTGTCACCCAAGCCTGCCGGCCTAACTGTAGCTAACAGTTGCAGTGCGAGATTGTCAGTCCCGTATAGATCTATACACAAACTCACGCTCTCCCTCCAGGAGACTCTGGTTATAATCGCAGGACTTTTGTTAGTACTTAGGTAAGTACGCGAAGATGCTCACTCACAAAATGTTATACTGACGATTAAGTGTAGAATAAAACGAATCATTTGAATTTAAATGACTGTTTGTAAGATCCATAAACTATACCTATTATAGTTTATATGTTTATTCGCATTGTATCTATGTTTAGTGCGTTGATAATGTAATTGTTCCATAAACTATATCTATTATAGTTTATATGTTTATTCGGATTGTGTCTATGTTTCGCGCATTGATAATGTAATTGTTCCATAAACTATATCTATTATAGTTTATGTGTTTATTCGGATTGTATCTATGTTTCGCGCATTGATAATGTAATTGTTCCATAAACTATACCTATTATAGTTTATAAATGTATATTCCATTTGTAAAATAAGTAATTCTGAAAGTGTTCCTTTGCTTTGCATGTTACAAAGGTTCATATAATTATGAGTGTATAAAAAACGTCTCAGTGAAAAGAATGATTGATTACTGTCAAATTGAATTAGGATAACTTAAAACAGTATATGGCAGTTTTGAAATCGTTTAGAAAATACTGAAATGTTCCAAAAATGTATTTTTGTGGTACTTGTATCCCCCCCCCCCCTAAAAACATTAAAAACTGGAAAAATATAGGGGTATGAACTCACCTTGTATGTGCGTTGGTGACGAAATTTAACATGTTGTAGAAACGATCCCCGGGTAAGCGTACGTGCTAATAACGTTACCCTAAAAATAATTGTACTCGTTATCGTATTTAAATTAATAATTAATTAATTTAAATAGTTAATGGAATAATTAATTAAGTAAGAATTACATACCAATTAATTTGGAATATTTGAAATAAAGGGGAAGGGTGTTTTCGTTGGAATTGGGGTTTTCGGTGGGGAAATTGGATGAACTCGGTGTTATGGTGTTATTGGTGAGACTTTGAATATTTGAAGATTTGAATGTGGTTTGATGAACTTGGTTGGATGTTTGAAGATGATATGAAGATCTGGGTAAAATTCTTATGACTTTCGAGAGAAAATTTTACAAGAGTTCGGTGGCAAAAGAGGGAAATGAATTGGGAAATCGGCCTAACACACATGTATATAGGGGGTGTTCGGCCTTAATGGGCCTCAAATGATGGGTGTTCGGTCCTTTAAGACCGAATTCCTTCATGAAATCGCTCTTAAAGTCAATAAAATGAAGGGTGTTCGGTTTCTAGTTAATGTGGAAATGGAGAATTCGGTCCAACCTTACAAGTGGGTGTGAATTCGGTTTCTTGGGTCAAAGGGAAAACAAAATCCGGTCAAGCTTTGTTTCTTAAAGGGAATTCGGTCTTGGTCTTGGAATTGATTCCTCATACCGAATTCTCTCTCTCTCTGTGTGTGTGTGTATATATATATATATATATATATATATATATATATTCCTTTAAGTTTTAAGGTTCCTACATATTTCCAAAGTATAGCTTTCACTTAAAATTCCTTGGAATAAAACCAAAATTATACTAAGATGTAATATTATTTAAGCTAAGTATTAGGCTTAGGTATGAATAAGTGCAACTCTTTGTTTGATCTAGTGTAAGCTTTGATTGAACTAGTGTGAATTTCATTGGCTTTTATTGACTCGAAAGAACGGGTTGTTACATTATCCCCCCGTTAGAGGGAATTTCATCCCGAAATTCTTTCTATAGTGAATACATTATAGACTAGGGAATTTAGGTCCCCGCCTGGCATTCCAGCGAACCTTCACGCTCCCAAGTGAATTTAGGTCCCCGCCTGGCATTCCAGCGAACCTTCGCTATTGGTATGCGACTTTGTTTCGTTCGTTTGACCTCCCTATCCATGATTTCGATTGGTTCTTCCACGAAGTTGAGGCTTTCGTTTATCTCGATTTCGTCGAGTGGAATCACAAGAGTCTCATCAGATAAACACTTCTTTAGATTTGATACGTGAAAGACAGGATGTACGTTGTTAAGTTCTTGTGGTAAACGGAGTTTGTAAGCTACGGGGCCGATCCTAGCGAGGATCACGAATGGCCCAATGTACCTTGGATTTAGCTTCCCACGCTTTCCGAAGCGTATCATGCCCTTCCAGGGTGAGACCTTCAACAGAACTCGATCCCCAACCTGGAATTCCAAGGGTTTACATCTTTTATCTGCGTAGCTCTTTTGTCTATCTCTTGAGGCTTTCAACCGCTCTCGGATTTGTACGATCTTTTCTGTGGTTTCTCGAATGATTTCCGGGCCAGTGAGAGTGCTTTCAGGAACTTGTCCTTTAGCCAGCTACGTGTCACCCACCTCAGCCTAACACAGAGGGGATCTGCACTTACGGCCATAGAGGGCTTTAAATGGAGCAGCTTTTATGCTGGTGTAATAGTTGTTGTTATATGAAAACTCGACCAGTGGCAAATGGGTGTCCCATGCTTTACCAAAGTCAATCACACATGCTCTCAGCATGTCCTCTAGCGTTTGAATGGTTCTCTCACTCTGCCCGTTAGTTTGAGGATGATAAGCTGTGGTCATGTCCAGCTTAGTTCCAAGAGCCTTCTGTAGTGACTGCCAAAATCGCGAGGT